AAAAAAAAAAAAACGGTAACCTGGTTGCCGAGTTCACGAAGTGAATTGGCTTGTTTTACAACGTCTTTGCCAAGCGACGAAAACCCAATCCCGATGGCAAACACCGGGGGGGAAAGAAGGGTGCGCTGCATCCTGCTGAGGGTGTTCGGCATCTTGTGCTTACTTTCTTGCGCACGGATGACAGCTGGTATGACTTAATTTATTTTCTGGTGCTTTCACTTCCTGAGACAGTTGTAATCACTGTGTAACTGCTCGAGGGTGCTTGACCATTTTAATACAGCGTGGTGCGATCATCCCCTTTGCGCGGAGTAAGGGTTCTCGACCCCGCACAACATGACCTACTCGACCACCATTATGGTAAAAAAAAGCCCGGTAACCTAGTTGCCGACTTCACGAAGTGAATTGGCTTATTTTACAACGTCGTTGCCAATCGACGAAAACCCAACCCCGATGGCAAACACCGGGGGGGGCGAGGGGGTTCCGCGTGATGGGAGAGCGCGTCGATTCAGCAGCAGCCATGGGATTTTGCTGATTGTGTTGGGGTCGGGGAGGATACCTCGGGGAGACACTCAGGGAGAGAGCGTGAGCGGGTGCTCGAGCCCCGTAACTGCGTAGCGTTGCTGACTTGTTGATGACGATCATGTGGTGTTGACGTTTCGAGGTGGTCTTGATGTGTGTAGCCTAGAATATGTTGGTCATTTTTTTCAGCTCCCGAACTAGCTGACTCCCGTCATCACCAACAGCGCCAATAACCTAGCACTGGTCACTTCGGTTGCCTTTTTTTTTTTTCATTCACGGGTCTGTATACCCATGATGGTCAACACGCGACCTCGAATAACACCTCCAAAGTACGGCTGCCGTAGCATTTTCACTCCCTCACCGTCACTCCGTTACCGTGTCAATGAACCTCTATTTTTCCTCTACCGATCGAACCTGTTCTCCTTGGTTTCTCTTGACTCGTTTATCTGAGTTTTCCTTTGACTTTTCTCGTGTTTTTCTGGACTTTCGTACAACGTCCTTGCCAGATCCCGATGATGGAGGACGTGTTCGGGAGCGGGGTTCTGGGCCACCTGTCGGCCGTGGCGAGGGAGTCGGACGATCTCAGGGACCTGGTGCACCGGGAGCTGTTCCAGCCGGTCTGGGACAAGGCCGTCACGCAGCCGTTGGGGCTACGCCTCGACGTTGAGTCTTACAGGTCAGGTTCGTGTTTGTGCGATCGCATCGCTTGTCTTGTCTTGTCTTGTCTTGTCTTGTCTTGTCTTGTCTTGTCTTGTCTTGTCTTGTCTTGCCTTGTCTTGTCTTGCCTTGCCTTGTCTTGTCTTGTCTTCCTTTGTGTCACGGGTGCATTGAATTTCTGTGTCTGTTTTTCTGTCTTTCTCTTCTTCTTTATCTCTTTACCTCGCTCTCTCTTTCCCGCTCGCCCTCTTACACTCGTCAACAGTACGCGAATGAGTAGAATGACACTATTTTGCCTGCGTAGCATCTCCCCGCCACTTGTCACATACTAGTAGGAAGTAACGTGAGTTGTGCAGGCTCAGGCCCCTGGTACCCATGTGCACGCAGTGCCGAGAGGCACACCACTGTGATACAACGTGAAGAATAAACTATTGATTTAGTGTTCGAAATAGTGTAAAGTTTCAGAATCAACCTTATTCATTGGAAACGGTGAAAAGTCTATCGGTATCTACGTCGCGTGTGTAAACGATTTATTCTTTTTTATGTTCTTTGGCGGTAAAACAGGAGCCACGGCCTGCTCTTCTGGAAGGAGGTTTTGCGGCAGCTGGTGCACAAGATGGGGATGCCCATGGTCCGCGACAAGACGCTGGGAATGTTCGTCAGGGACACGCTACAGCGCGACACTCACGTACCTCTGAAGGTATTGCATCTAGTGAAACTAAAAATGGTCTTGGGCGCGCGTCCATACCTCCTTGTTGCTTGTCTTTTGGACGCCGAAATCAAACATCTAGACTCCCTCGTCCTCGAATGGTACAACAGTAGGTGGTCCGGTATATCACCGGTGGTTGACAGCCGATTCCACCGGAATTGTAGCGGGAGACCGGCATTATCAAGAATCGGCCTATATAATGCCGGTTCCGGCATTACTGAGGGTCTGAGAATTCCGCTACTTTGCCGGTACCTGCAGTATACAGGAAACTGTCGAGTTGTTCAACACGAAAACATGTACCTGGTATGCATATGTAGCACACACCAAGTATCAGGTGATAGGGGGAAAATAGCAGTGAATGCTGTGACAGGAGGCTTGGTAAGCATTCCGCGATCGAGCAGGTTTCAGAGGCGTGTGCATCGAAGGTCCGCATGTTAGCTCATCCCTCTGTCCATCTTTGGTTCTACATCCCCTGCTTTTTTTTTTCCGAAGGTCCGCATGTTGGCTCATCCCTCTACGCATCTTTGGTTCTACATCCCCTGCCTTTTTTTTTCCGAAGGTCCGCATGTTGGCTCATCCCTCTATGCATCTTTGGTTCTACATCCCCTGCCTTTTTTATTTCCAGAGCAGAGTCTTTGCACGGACTCTTCCTTGACGTATAATATTCAACTCTCCGGTGCCTCCCCGTCACTCGTAAAAATAAACATGTAACACAATCAATTATATCGCGTCCGCAAATATCGAGAAAGAAAGCAAACCGACAAGCAGTACAATGAACGTAACATCTGAATACACCCACGTACGTGTCACAATACCAGCGAATACTCGCTCACACAGAACAAGGAACAAATGAACAGAGAAAATTCAAACAGAAAGTGGTCGGCCTGTTGGTGTTCGGCTAAAAACGACAACCTGCCAACAGCTTCCACCGAACAAACAATCACACTTCTCTTGTATTAACACTGGATCGGATCGGATCGGCTCCAAAACTAGCATGAAATCTTGTCGAAGTAGCCTCTCATGATCCGGTAGGGGTGCAGCTGGTAGGGGTATATGGCCTCAAAGTGTGTGTGCGGTGTGCTGCTGTGTGTGCAGTCCTGTGCGTGCAAGCAATCGTGAGAAACGGCATATTATTCACGAGCCGATTTTACCAGCATTGCAGCGGGCACCCCGGCCTTATTTGACCTGCACTATACCTGGCCATCTACTTGTGTTGAGGACAGCGATTTGAATTCGGGTTCTAGCATCTGGCGAGTGATTGAGTTTTTCTAGGTCGTAGGTTCCGTGTAGGTCGAAGGTAAGTGGCCGTTTCCCCGCGTTGGTAGTGTGTGGCTGACTGGCTGCCCCCCCCTCGTTAGACCTACTCTCCCCTCAAACGGTCTTTCCCTCCTTGTAGGCATGGTCTTCGCGGCGCATGTCCACAGTGCGACGTTGCAGCATGGTGCACCACGATGAAACCACCGCCTTTCCGTAATAGATAGCATGTTCATCGGGGTGGCTTGTTTGGTTGGGGCGTCACGAGTTGAAAGTTCGACCTTACGGTCCTTAAACAAGAGCGGTGTCTCGATACCTGTCTGTCTGCTGACTGCGCCGCTACTTTCCGTCCGTGTATCTATCCGCGAATGAGCCTGCTTCTGCTTTTTTTTTTGCGATGTGTTTGACAAGATGCAATACGTTTCAAGTTATTATCGTTTTCCTTCCACCACATCTTGTTTCATTCCTACGGCGAAGTATGTACGTTCACACGTGGCAATGGTTTTGTGTGTGTTTGGGTATTGCTTTGCTCTTACTCTTCCTCCAGGACAAGTGGGTAGAGCTGAGGAAAGAGTACGTGGGTTTCCTGTGCGGAGGAAGCCTGTACATCTTCAGGATGGGGGTGTTCCTGCCGCCGAACACGTCCTACGGCGAGAAGGTACGTGCAGGCGGCCGTTCTCACACCCCCTGGATTCATAACCTCACGGGCGGTGATTCATTCTCGTACATGACGACCATGACTTTTCCCAGCGACGATGGCCATATGTGCACGTTGACACGGCTTCCCAATCGGCGAAACCTCCATCCAACGCCACACTCGTGGGGTCCCTGCTCTGCTTCCGGTTTATTGTAAGCCCTCTTCACCCTGCGCCCGCCAGTTTTTCTGGTTGAAGTCAGAGAGGTTCACCCTTTTGGAAAGGTTATGCTTCCACGCGAAAGTGGTCTTAGACCCTAGGACAGTATTGGCTTAGGGTCTGCGCAAAGTCTGTTCTACGAGCCCTTTCCGCTCCGTGGTTGTACGTGATGCCGGTATTGTTTATGTCCCGTCGATCTCCTCTTGTTGCTGCCTTTGTTGCTGTTGCTGTTGTTGTTGCTAGTGCTGCGGTCGCTGTTGCTGCTGTCGTTGTTGTCGCTGCTGCTGACACTGATGCTGTTGTTCTTGCTGCTGATCCTCCTTCTGGTACTGGTGCTGCTGCTGCTACTTCTGTGTGTGCTGCCGACGCTGCTTCTGATACTGCTGTTGGTGCTGGTGCTGCTGGTGCTGCTGTGTTCTATCAGGCCGAGGGGACACCTGTCCCGCTAGACGGCGGTCTAGTGCAGGTCGGTCCGTGGAGGATCACGACGGCAGAGACCGAGACCAAACCACCGCAGGTACGAAAAACTTGTCGCGAGCACCAATCACCGCTATGCGTCGCAATAGTCCAGTATTTTGTCTGGCGATCTGTGCCAAGTACGTGGCGGGCTGGGGAGAGTCTGCGTTGGATACCTTCGAAACACACGTGTGCGAGAGCCGCCGCCACCCCCGCTGGCAGCGGCGACGGCAGATAGCAGTCTTGGCGTCGAAAGCCGATAGGCACGGCGGGACCCAGCGCGCTGCCCCTTGAAAGTCCCTCACTCTGCTGCGAGCCCACATCCAACCGCACGCGCGCCCGTGGATGTCTCTGAGAAGGCAGACCCCTCCAACGAGTCTTCCCCTCCCGTGGTTCGCGGAAATACCGTCGGAAAAGAGGCTTGTCGAGCTGAAAATATCGCACGGCTGAGTTGCTGATGCACCGCCAAAGGGACGGTGAAAACCCTTGTTTGAGCACTCAAAACGAAAATTGGCCAAGAGAAACACGATGAACGCATAGGATTGCTGGCCCATTCACCGAAAGGACCGACGCCCCGTGAACCAATGGACCAATCAAAACCGCAGGAGCTGCAGGATTTCGAGCGAGGCCGCCCCCCCGCGGCCAACGCCCTTCCGTTTGCGTCCATGGACGAGCTCATGGACGGGGAGTTGAGCTACGTGGTGGCCGTGCCAGACACACCGGAGGCAGCGCTAACGGTCCAGGTGTGCTCTTGTTGCTGTTGCGAACTGAAGTTGCGGTTGGTACGAGTCAATGAGACCTGCGAAGTCAACGTGTCACATGAGATGCTTACGGCTGACAAGAATTCCTGAGATGTATGTGCATTTGAAAAACAGTCGAAACATCTCAGGAAGACTACCCGCCCGCTCCTGATGATTCAAAGAAGGGTCGGAGCATTTTCAGCGAGGAGAGAGGAAATCCTGCCGGATAGTGAATATTTGTTTTGCCCTTTCTCCCCTCCTTGCCTCCTTCCCTTCCTCCCTCCCTCCCTCCCTCCTCCCTCCCTTCCCCCCTCCCTCCCCCGCTCCCAACACTCTCGTAACACTGTGTGCGTGCTAAATGTTTGCACTGACTTTTCCACAAAAAAAAAACGTGATTGATTGATTGATGCAGCCTGGTTTGAGAGCGAAGGCCCCGGCGTGGCGAGACGTCGACCCCCGCATACGCCGCGGGATGCCCCTGGTGGCCCCGCCCCCCTCACGGGACCCGCCTCTTCTCAAGGAGAGCGGCGCGAGGATGGTGACTGTCACGCTCAAGTATACGGGAGCGGGCACGTCACCCTTGTAACGGTTCGTTGTAACGGTTCGTTGTAACGATTCGTTGTAACGGTTCTTTAGTGCGAGTGTTTTTTTCTTGTCTGAGAAATATTATCACTTTTGCCGTCCCAGCACACAAAGATGTTGGTGGTGCGCGAAAGGCTGTAAACTGTCTGCGTGTATTGTCTGTGCCGCAAAGTAGAGTTGGTAGTCTCCCCAGCGGATAGCGGTAGCATACTGAAGAGTAGTAGATGTAGTACTAGTAGAGAGTAGTTGCAGCAATTGTAGTAGCAGCATCAGCAGCTGCAGCAGCAGTATAATAGTTGTATCAATAGCAACGTATGTCGAGTGGGCGGTGGGACTAAAAATGAGGGAATCCTGAAGCAGTACTAGCCAGGTTTGTTGACGCAGTGATGAAGTCGTCCTTGCTTGTGGATTGGTATTGTTGTCAGTGTTGCAAGTGGGTCGATGCTTTGCCTTTTGGCCGCCCCCAAGGCGGGCGAGGGTAGGCGTACACGACTGCCTTCGGTAAGAAGTCCGGGGGGCAGGCAGAGAAAGGAGAATTGGGTTCGTGTGGCGCAGCCGTTTTTGCGCTTTTCGGTTTCAGGAGTTGGCCCATCGAGTGGACACCGCTGTACTGGAAGATGCATTGGCTGCATCTTTGACTAGGCATTTCCTGTCCTCGTATTATAAGAACATGAAATACCCTGGGTGCCAAGGATTTCCCAAGGACTTGTGCACAGTGCGACGAGGCAACTATTCATGCCGCCGACAGAGGAACCCGGCCGAGAGAAGTAAAAGTGCACGTGTCTGCCGTGAGTCTCGTCCCTGGTTGAGCCCGTCAAATCACACACGAAACTTGTAGTTCCTGCAACATCGCAGCCCGCCCCGCCTTCACCACTGACCATCGAAGCCGCGGGACAGAAATACGCCCAGACGACCGAGTTCCGGTACCTCGGTGGCCTCGTCAACGAACATGGCGACCTCACCCGGGAGATCAGATACAGGAGCAGAGGAGCGTGGGCGTGCCTCAGGCGATATGGCCGGGAGCTCTTCGACAGACCGCAAGCGCCATTCCGACTCAAGATCCGCCTGCTCCAGGCGGAGGCGATGGAGTAGGCACTAATGTACGGCTGCATGACATGGTCACCGCTCAGCGGCCACTATCAGACGCTGCGGTCGATACACCATCGACTGCTCCTTCGAGTTATCGGGTACAAGCGCAAGAAAGACACCTACCGGCAGCTGTCTTACGCACAGACGCTGAAGAGGGTCGAATGCCAGAGCGTTTGAGCCACGATCCGACAACGACGCCTACTGTTCGCGGGAGCATTGGCAAGGCAGCCGGACGGGCGACTCCCGAAACGACTAATGCTCGGCGAACTGGCAGGGGCNGTTATCGGGTACAAGCGCAAGAAAGACACCTACCGGCAGCTGTCTTACGCACAGACGCTGAAGAGGGTCGAATGCCAGAGCGTTTGAGCCACGATCCGACAACGACGCCTACTGTTCGCGNGACGCCTACTGTTCGCGGGAGCATTGGCAAGGCAGCCGGACGGGCGACTCCCGAAACGACTGATGTTCGGCGAACTGGCAGGGGGGGAGAAGCGACGTAGGGGGGGACAGGAACAGAACTGGCCGAAGTGTGTGCTCGACGACCTGAAGGCATTCGGGGCCGACCACGGATCTACGAAAGAAAACCGATCCATGTTGTCTTGGAATCCCGGTACCGAAAGACACGGCACCGAAGTTAAAGTGGACGGAAGCCACGAAGGTGGAGGGGGGAATACCCTGGCATGCGACGGTGCTGCCGGGAGCTGAGAGGTTCATGACCTCCTGGCAAGTGAAGGGAGAAACCACAAGCCACCAACCAATGGGGCGGGAGGGGGGCAGGAGACGGACGAGACGGCGAGGGAA